GTTGATCTTTAAGAGTATGGCAAACTTATATGAAAAAATGGCAATAATAGCAACCATGATGTCAAAAATGTTGTCAAGCATTGTAACAATCCTCACCCCATTTCACTGGGAGTCTTTTAGACTAGGCCAACATATATCACTACAGCGAAAGCCAACTTTCCTCAAGATAGTACTTGAGCTATTCCTCACCCCACCAAAGAGGTCTTTTGGAACCTTCTCAGGGATCGAGCCCCTAACCTCTACAAGTATTTATAATATAATTCATCAATATCCTTATTTGAGCTAATTTTTACTATTAACTTAACACTTTTTTATGCTCAAAATTCATTCTATACTTATATAAAAATGCGCACAAAGTTTTTTAGCTTTCTTTAACCCTCATTAACATCGTTAAGCTCTTAAATGGCTATTAATGGAACCACAATGTTCCCAACCAATAAATTTATTGTGAAATTTGCATATTAAATGCTCTCCAACTATCAATCATCATAAATTCATAAAAACCAAGTTTCATTAGCTTAATCCACTCTCATTAACTCTATTTAAGTCAAAAGGTTCAGAGTCATAACCTATATGGATCGAAAATTATAATTATCAACCAAACCCTAACTTTTACCATTAAAAAAATGAAAGAAGAGAGAAGGATTTAGATGTAAGAAGCTTATCTTTGATGTTTATGAGCTCCAAAATATTTCAAATACTTAGATTCTGTAAGTCTTAACAGAGCATTTTTGTCCCTCCTTCGTATATCTCTGTTTTCTCCTTCTTCTGTTACATCAGTTCACGATCTTATTTTGGAAAAAAGTGTTCATGTGCCACGATAGACGCATAATGCATCGCGGTACATGGCACAGAGAGCATCCCTCCAGGCGTGTCGAGACATACATGCCGCACAGAACTTTCCTTTTTAGATTTCTTCCTCTATTCATTCTTGGGTGACTCGATTCTCTTTTAACTTCTAGGGCTGGAATTCAAATCAAACACGCCCATTAGGCCTCTCTAATACACTTAATTAATCTAATTTAGGCTTAATTAATCCAATTTAAAATAAAAATGTTACAATCCAAGTGTCTACGAAAAGATCATTTAGTGAACTAACTAATGGCACAGGTCTCATTTATAAATTTTATCATGTAAAAAGTTAGACATTTGAAATCAAAACTCAAAACAACTACTTTCTCACATTTTTTAACTTTCAAAGTGTCCAAAACCCAACCAAAATGCCATTAGCTCACACAATTCATTTTGACTTTAAAACTCAAATTTATACTTGCATTAGTATTTTGACCTTATTCATATATTTCTACTAAAAAGATACCGCACACATTAAGGCTCAAAATACACCTTTCAATACTCAATATTTAATTGTGTAGGTAACAATAAAATATGAACATCCTAGTTGGCAATATTAATTAATTACGCATATGCATATACAATTATGAGAGGCCCACAGTAGGAAATTGAGTTCCTAAGCCTCTGATGCTTTCCCTTTATCTTGCTCGGAACTTGTGCCTATAAAAGTTTAAATAAAGGGATAAGTACAACAACTTAGTAACCAATATTAATTTAGCCTGTACAAATGCATGTTAATTAATCATATTGATGCAAATGACATATTCACATATTAAACTTTGCAATTCATATAGTTACAAAACTAATGAACATGTGACATTAGATTACTTAGCATGCAAGGGTTACAACAATAGCAACTATATACCCTTTGTACAACACAAAAGATCACAAAAATAATAACCATGTAGTCATATAATAATATGCATAAAAACACATAAGGAGTCACGATACTAACAACTATGTGCCCCTATAAAATTATGCTAAACCACAATAATAACAATCACATGATGGGGATATGATATACATAATCAAAGCCAGCCTTTCACTTATGAGAAGCTGCTTGACCAAGGTTACTACACTTACTTATAGGACACGATCTCTCTAAATACTAACAACCATACAGTGTCGTACTCCCAATCTAACCTCCTCATAAACCAATAGAGGCTAGTTAGGTTCGAGTTCCTCAAAAAATAAGTAAGACAATGACTACCTATCAATTTCAATGGTTAACAATTTAGCTAACTTTTGATTCCAATAGTAAGTTACCAACGCCACGTGAATTTACAACATCTACTCCTTTCCCTATAGGCAAGCACCCGCCTCATTTAATTATGTCGTGCACAAATGTTTAACACATAGCAAGCATATTCATACGTATCAATAGCATGCAACTTTTATTGATATCAATATCATCATATCATGCTTATCAATATCACAAATACAATCATGCTCAACACAAGTCTCAATTCATAATTTTTCTTTTTCATAGGCACCATTATACACTTTAATATCTACTCACAACAACAATTATATATAAGATATATTTTTCACAAATTCTATTCATATCAATTTCATCACATCATATAAACTTATTCATATTGCCACAACTTGCATCAAATATAGTTTTACAATACGTCATTGTTTTCAAATAAGTCTTTTCATCTATATTCAATTAATCAAGAAAATGTACAAGCTAAATTTCCCTCGATTATTTTAAACCTTTAAGAGATCAAAGGCTTACCCTTCATTATCACTTGTTTTCGAGCTAAATTTAAGCTCTCCGGTGCTTTATGAAGTTAGTTTATAATTAACATTAACACCCATCACTAATAATCATCAAAATCACCACTTTCAACATCTAATTTCATACTTTAATAACCAAATTTCTCAACTATAAGATCAATCTCACATCCAATGAGTTTATTAACTTCACTTAGTTCTCAACAATTTAAATAATCACTAATATATCATCCAACAATCCAAAATCATCATTAATGTCACAAATTACTCACTTTAAACTTTCAAATTTTAATACTTTAATCACCCAAGACTCTCAACTCTTGAATTTAATCACTACATCAGGTTTATTAACTCTCATTAGCTCCAAATAACTTTATTAACCCATCTACCACCATTAATGACTTCCAACAATCCCAAGATTCATCATTAATGGCATTTTAATGGACAAATTCATCTATAATTGAGAGCCTACTCTCATAGACATATAAAATCACTATATTTAGGCTTAAATAACTCCTATTAGTCTTATTTAGACCAATGAATTCAAACCCATAGCCCTTGGTTCGAAAATCCTCATCCCTCAACCTCAAATATTACTTTCAAAACATGTAGAGAGGAGAAGAAGAGATAAAGAAGACATATCTAGATAAAATCAAGCTCTAATCACCTTTAAAATGTCCAAAAGTTGATACCTTGACAGAGCAACTACTCTCTCCATCACCCTCCCTTTGTTTCAAGCTCCTTTCTCCTTGTTTTGGATGTTTTCAAATTTAAAAGAACAATTGGTTTTGAAAATCATCATGCAATGTAAATTTTTATGCTACAACATAAAGCACTGAAGACCACAATCCAATTTTTCTTTACAATTTAAGCTCGAGTAACCCAATTCACTTTCAAATGCAATCCAAAGGCTAAAATCAAATTCAATAGCCAACTCTAACTATCTTCAAATCCATTTATACTTAAATTCACATATTTATCTTTCTTTAGCTTAATTAGTCAAGGGGATAATGTTTAAGATATTACACAACACGTCGAGGTGGGGTGTCATAATAATTTTGGCACCCCCTGCATTAGCATTCATGATAATATTCCATACAAAATTATGAGTTTATGGATTGAAAATTACCCTTTAAATATTTTATATGATGATTTGTGGCTTTAGGGAAGGCTTGGGTTATTTTATGGATCTCAACCAAAAAAAGCAACATAGGGAAGGGAAATGAAACTTAACTTTGATACCAAATTAATGTAAAATAGGAAAGTGAAGAGGGGGAAGAGAGAGACAAGAAAGGAGGAGGAGAGAAAAAAAAGAGGAGGAGGAAGGCTGAAACTCTAAAAAATTTTATTTAATATTATTTAAAATTAAATGCAAATAGAAAACCTAACTCTATTTATAGAGCTCTAAAAGAACAATAAAAATGATAAATCTAAATCTAGATCCTAAATCTAATTTAAAAAGATAATGATAGGATAATCAAATAATAAATATAATACTAATAGATAAAATTTTATTCAAATATCCCTAATGGATAATCCTAGTATTTTAAATAAATTTTAATCATCCTAATTAACTATTATCCTATATTCCATTACCTTGTTGATTAAGATGTTTGCCTTTCGGATCCTTGTTTTAAAGAAAAGTAATTGATAACCTAGTGATGTGTTAAGAATTTTCAAGGGTATGAGCTATGTTAGAGGGAGGGGAGTAGTTTGAATATTGAAAGGGGTGAGGAGAGTTTTGGCCTCTCAAAAGTCTAGTGTCTTGGGGTAAAAAAGTCATATTTCTTCATCATTTTATCTGTTTAATGTGTGTTTGTGAGTAATTTATATTTTGTGTTGTTTGGTGAAGAGTATTTAGTGTTGTTCCATATACTTTCAGTTCTTTATTTTGCTTGTAATCCAACTTTATTATTCAATAATATATTTTTCTAGTTTCATTTGGAGTGTATTTTCTGGTTTTGCTTGTTTTTTAAGCTTAATAAAGTAGATGGTTACATCACAAATTCCCTTTTGGTACACAATTCATGAGCCTTTACGCGGTCATCTTCAATTATCTAAACAAATAAAATAAAACCGGAAAACTCTTGCTAAGAAGGCAAGCCCTTTCAATATATATATATATATATATACATATATATATCAGAATATCATGTAGTTTCGCAGCTAATTACTGGAAGTTGGAACGATAAAAATAAAAAAAGCAAGAAGACATAAACGACAAGCTGATATTCCAGGCAGAAAGCAAAAATTCACGAAAATTCTATCTTTATGAGAAATCAAAAGTGATACAGTACTTTGGAATCTAACGTATTTTTTTTTTTTATGGAAAATGATCTATATATTCACAAAAAATAACAATAATTAATGCCTAATCTTCCCCATTCCAAATGAGCAGAGGGAGTCGATGGTAAAAGGCACTAGAAGAACTAGTGCAAAAAGAGTCTAATCTTTTTTCCGTTGTATCCACACACAAAAAAGAGTCTAATTTAATAATCTCTTTCATAGGATTAGAAAAAACATTACAAGAGAACAAAAGCTCCTCATTCCAATCCTGGACGATGAGTTTCCTGGCTTCATTGAGCAGTGTCTGCAGGGTTTGACCGGAGAGAGACAGTTCCCTAGTTAGGAGATTGTAAATGTAAGGACAACTAATGGATACCACAACTTTCTTGAAACCTTTCGTCCAGCAATGATTGAGAGCATGACAGAGCACTTGGATCTCCGCCATTTCCTTGGATTTATCAAGGTTTTTCTCGGAAATTCCAAGCTCCCAACCATGATCGTGGCGTCTGATAACAGCAGCACCTACTGGTTCATGCATGAACAGAATTGCCAGCAGTGCCCACTTTAATTTTGACAAAAGTAAGATTACTACTGTGGTTAGCAGCAGCATCTCCTCTACCTCGCCCAAGCCCAAGCAAAGTTGAGCAGAGGAGTGATCTTTGATCCTGAATCTCCTTATTCTTCATATTCTTTTTGAGCAAAAATTGAATTCTTCATAGTCTATATAAACACTAAAAACTAATCATGTAATTGTATATACCATCAAAACAATTTAGGGGGATACTGCTAGCGACAAAAGCATTCTTTATCAATAGCCATTAATGCTTAACATGAAATGGACCAATAAAATTTTATGGCTAAATCCTGGCATATACATACCTAGACCTCTATAAAGACCATAAACTCCCCCTTCCATGTAGGCACTTGTAAGCACACTTTTAATTCCATTATGTGCTGGTTGAGAAAGAACGTCTTTCATGCCGTCTCTTATACTTCCTATCGCGTCTATCACCCATAATATTTTGACAAAGACTTTGATTGCAAGACACAAACAATTCCATCCTTAAAAGACAACCTCTACTTACTAAAGCACTATCAAATGGATATAATACCACTCACAGAATAAAATTATGAAAGAAATGGTACAGGTTCAACTAATATCAAGGCAGAAATAAGTTGTTGCACACGACACAAGAAGTAAAACCAAAATCTAAAGTTGATGCATGTCCGTATTTTAAGTGACTTACAAACGTTCTTTGTAGAAACTCGATCCACATATCAACAGTTCGTTGAAAAAGTATTATAGAAAACACCTAAGCCACTTTATTTATGTATATGTCTGAGGGTTAGAAGAGAATTAAAGAGAACAGGACACATCCCATTCAAGAAGCTTAAGGTGAAACAAGACTACTAATAAACTGTCCAAAATATGAATGAATCTTTATACCAACATTTTTTAACGTGTTACTGAATGCATTGCTACTCATAGTTGACTGTGTCACCTTTTATGAGATGAACCAAAGGCCTTACATAAATATCATTCGTGTTCTTTCTGATCTATTTCTTATCAAGCTAAATTTTACCAAAGTCTATCCAGGCATGCTTTAAATGTTCTACAAACACCTAACACCAGGATAAGTTCTTTTCTGGTCAACTTTGGAAGTTAACACAAATGTCTTTCTTTCTCACATCGTCTTTTCTTCTTTTCCTTTGGATATATAGATTTGCAAGAGAGTAGACATCTAGTTCAAATATTTTCAGATGGGTCAAAATGTTTAGTGGAGATCCCTGCCTTATAAGCAAGTTTTGCACGAGCAAGATCTAGAGGATCTGTACATAGAACTGAACTGCCTCCAGCTGCGGATCCAACTAAAAAATCAATAATAGGACTTGATCCTAACATTGGACAATTCTGCCAGATCCAACACTTGTACCCAAGGCGGCAAAATGAATAATCCAAATAACAGTTACTCCATTTCCACCGAAACCACCAAAAATAAGCATGCGTAAACTATAACTACAGAGTACCTGTGGACTACAGAAACATAGAAGAAGGGTGTAGACAATAAGAGGTTCAATCTTACTTGCATAATCCTGGCAAACCTTCATAATTCACCAACTTAGGTCCCATTTACTTACTAAAAAAAGGAATGGAATGTATTAAAAAACTAAAGGTAAAAATAAGATAATTAAAGAAGATAAGTGAACATATTCATAAAAAATAGAGATAATTTAGTTCATAAAATTAAAAATCATTATTTATTAAATTTTTGAAAAGTATGATAATTTTTACATTTGTAATATATATTAATGAGTTTTATCATACTTATTATGAAAGAAATGGTGATTTAGTTCATTTTCATTTTATTTTTTTCAATTCATTACATTCTAATAATCAAACAGGACTTTAGAGATTGATAAACACCAAGAGAGTGAAATCCTTGTGTCCTTGTTCTGTGGGTAAAATTAGAGAAAAAAATGAGCTAAAGCGAGACATACTCCCACCAATGAATATGTAAATCATAAGCGAAGAAGTTACAATTAAAGGAGCAACAACAAAACATCCAATGATGCGCATGCCAATGCACTGTCTCATGTGTAAATATGTAACACCTTATATGCCGAGTGTTTGGGATTCCTTTAATCATTATAATCGTGGGACTACTATTGGCCCTTTCAAAATTTGCTATGTTCTCGGCAGTAGGATGGGTGGTTTTGGTCAGTTCATTATTGTACTAAATAGCAGGCAACCAGATGCTCGAGAGACAGTAGAGGTATAAGAGCAACAAAGCACATACCACACGTGATGTACAAACTAGGCTATTTTTTTACAGAGATCGTATTTGTGATAACAGCGCGTCTGAATAATATTACTTTTTACATCGGTAATACTCCATCAGGAAAGTCAATGACAGATGTATGTTTGCTAAGCTTCCCGACAAATCGTTGCACGCTAAGAGAATGCTTACACTAGCTAGGGACCAATAAAACACTATCTACTACAAGCTTCAATGGACGGAGGAAAAACCGGTCAAGAGCGTATTGCGATTCTCTTTGGCGACTGCCTTAAGCAGGTTTCCAGATAGAAAGAGCATGAATGATACGCCCTTTCCATCCCTGTAAAACCCACCTGCTATCCTCATCCACGGCAAAGTCCTTGTGATATTCCGTCTTTACCATTTCTTGAGCTTTATTAAAGATTTGTGCGTCCATACGGAGTTGCTTGAACCCAGCTCTACGATTCCTAATCTGCCACTGCTTGTAAGTCTCTGGCCGCTCAACCCTTTCTGCCCCCTCGCACGCGATAACATTCATGGCGTCCCTTCCAAAGATCCCCTTCTCAAACCACAACCTCTCTGGATCTTCCCGGGGCACATTCGCCTCGAACATGTCAAACAAAGATGAGAAGTGGAACAGAGCCTCCCTGAACCGAGTCACGAAAAATGGGGCATTGTAGGTGCCATTGACAACCCCATGTATGAACATATTCGGGTTTATCTTCCTTATCAGCTTCAAAACAGCATCTCTTGGACTGTTTGCGGACACAGTTTCATCAGGCAGGTTCTTCAATCTGTACAAACAGTTAACCACAGTTATCTCGGTCCTGTCGATCTTGAGATCCTCCAGTCGGATGGTTTCCCATTTTTGTGCCAAGCATTTGTATTCGAAAGGGACGTTGAACCTCCTGCAGTAGTTTGCTAACCTTCGTCCTGTCTCCTCAATCCTCTCTGCTGGCCGAAACCCTGATTGAGGGAACTCAATCCCAGTCATACGAAGCTTGGGAGGGCCGCCTTGTCTTTCCGAAAGACGCTGGATAAGGCAGGGCCATTGAAAACCATAGCAGATGCCAAAATCAATGATGTGAAGGTTATTTTCACCTTCTACCAGATTCAGAATTGTTCTGTTAGCCAAGAAATTTGAAATCCTGAGGAAAGGAGATGTTGTGATGTATAGCTTGTAAGCTTTCAACATCTCAGCAGCAGTTGCTCCATCGCAATCAAGGGGGTTATATGATGGTGTCCCAGCAGCCAAACGCGTCTCAAGACCATTGGCAAAGTAATGAGCTAAGCGTTCGATCCCATCGCCAAAAGGGGAACAGTGCAGCCTGATCTGCTTGAGAAGCTCGTTGGCATTCCTTTGGTCAAAGCTTGCAACAGCTTGGGCACATTGGGTTAGTAGAGTCCACAAATCTACTGCTGTCCCTTTGTTAGACCCTTTCTTTGAACGCGTCGCCTTCCCGTTTGATCCTCCAGAGTCGACATTCAGGTGGAATGTGCCATTTTGAGATGATCCAGGGCCACATGACGAGGACTGGGTAGTTCTGAGATTACAAAGAAGTACTTCATCAAACATTTCCGTCGGCTCTGAATCATCCGAACTGACAGCAGAAAGTTTGCTGCCTCTGCCCTCTTCTTCGTTTATAGAATCACCCACCCAAAGGGTTCTCTTTTCCCTTGTTCCTCTGGATCCTGAGTTGCGCAGGGAATCCCCTAGATTCATCTGCAGATTACTCTGATCAAGGATCCCCCCATATAGATCGGGAGGCACATCTGAAATATCGAGGACGTTTTCTGAGGAATTAACGACACCGTTCACCCATTCGGAGTCAGATGTATTATCAGTGGTATAGCTGCCGCTGCTCTCGAAACTATGGGTAGGGAAGAAGTTTTGATCATCTGGGCTATCAGTGTTTTCACCATGGAAGCAATTAGAGATTTGATGAGGAGAAGTGGGGTAACTACGACCGAGGGCATCGTAGAAAGATTTTTCAGCAGCCTGGAGAGCTAAGCAGTCTTGTAACATGCAGGGCTTGCGCTCCAGGTCGTCTTCTTCATCCAAGAGGATTTCACTGATGAATCTGAGAGCTGGATTGGAATATTTGTTACTGTCCGCCGATTCTTCGTTCGTGCTCGTGCTAGAAGAATGACCCGACTCACCATGAAATTCTGAATTGGTTTGAATGAAGGACGAAAAGTCGGCTTTATCATCATATGTAAACCCGTTTATGGGATTCTGAATTGGAAATTCTGAAATATGACCATTTTCAAATCTGAATCCATTTACGGCACCGGGAAAATTCTCCAGAAGAGCATCCATAGATACCAGTTGAACGAGAACCAGAGAACAAGTTTGACTTTTAAAAAATCAAGACTGAAAATTGTATATGAAGAAGAATGAATATTAAATTTGGAACTTAAAACTTAATCAGCCAAGGGAACTAAAGATTCACCGAGACGGAGCAGATGAACAACATATACACAGAACAAACAGCGAAATCAAAATCGCAATAAGATGCGAATAGTTGAGAAAACTAAATACCGAGACTAATCAATTAGATGAGATAAATCAAAAGGAAACGAAGAAAGAAGAGGAATCAGGAAGATAAATGAATAGGTAAGGGCTAAAGTAGACAAAAAATGGAAACAATACCTAGAAGATAAGGTGGAGAGTGAGGAGTAATCGGCAGATAGTCGTCGACGCGGAGATGTGATTCTTATAGAACTAATTAAAAGAGCCATCTTCGCAGTAAAGAACTTTCTAGGAAGGTGCTTAGCTTAGACAAGACAAAGACAGCCGCCATATTATCATAATAGTAAACGAACTTTTTTTTTTTTTTCTTTTTTTCGGCAGGCGTTTAGTAAACGAATTTTACAAAGTAATTAATTAGTAGTTTCATACGTGATTATTGGATTGTAAACGCTCCATACTCCGTTGAATAGCGAGAGGGCACGAGTGGAGCATTAATCATATCATCTTTTCTAATGAGCGTGAGCCACGGCAGGGGCAGGGTCCCTGTCCACTCGCACAAGGAGTTATAACTAATAATAATATTTTGGTTATAAAAAATATTCTTTTCAACTTTATGTGGCATATTTTAGAAAATTTAGAGAATATTATTTCGATTGGAAAATTTATCTTTCTGCATTTAAGATATTGGCAAATTTTAAAAAAAAACTTTGCCATGTACTTTTTTCCTTAATATAAGGAATTTTTGGAATAAAATTAACGTTTCACCAACTTCAACTGACCCATATTTTAGACTATAAAAATCTTCTAAAAGATAAGATAACTTAGATGGAAAAAAAATCAGATAAAGTATAAAACAGTAGTTAATAATATCTTAGGGGATATAATTTTAGAAATGAGGTCATGGAGGAGTCAAGGAAGATGTATGGTAGTCAAAGATTACACGTGTCAGAATTCAAGAGGGAGCAGAAACTTGACCATCAAGATTCAAGATATTGGCCCCATTTAAAAGAGATAAGGCATTATACCCGTGTAAATTTGAATGAGGTGGTTTTTTGTTTTTTTTTTTGTTATGTTATGAATATTAAGATGGATGTTCATCTCTCTCACCTTTTCATTTTTTCTCATAAAATTTCCACCATTTTCATAAGTGTTGATTAGTCTTTATTTTTCATTATCACTTATGTAATTTTTGATGTAAGATCATGTTTATAAATAGTGCATGCTATTTGTATTGTAAAGAATGAAAAAGAATACAAAAGAGGCTATCCTCATTTTTATTGCCTCTATTCTTCCTCCTCCTCCTCATCTTTTCATTTTCATTCTCTCTATATTTTGTTTATAACACATTATCAGCACAAGTCTTGAATGAATTTGCATAAGACATGGACTTCAAAGGTTTTTTACTGATTACTGAAGGTTCTTATTTATCATATGAAAGTATGATAATTTGATTCTATTATTAATTTCTATTATTGTTGTATTTCATGTCGTCTCATTTAAATATTCAAGATTTATTCATCTATAATACGATTGTGATTGTCGATTTGATAATTATTTATTACTGTGATGGAAAGATATTGAATATGTGATGACTGACAAAGCCATATTATATTTATTTCAAGATTAAGTGACAAGAAGCCATGTAGATTTTCACTTTGGAGAAGTTCATTATGGGGTTTATTGGCAATTTATCTATTTATATAGCTATAAATAATATAGCCCTGAAGGCTAATAATTTAAATATTTCATACCATTAGAAGCTTTGATAGATTTAAAAAATATTTTTATTGGTCTTAACAACTAGTATTTGATAAAATTGATATAATATTAACAAATGTGAAAAATTGACAAATTTAGCTTGCTTATGAGCAATAACCATATATGTTGTGTACAAATTGACTATTGAAAGTCAATAATAATTAATGATATATATTGAAATTGGAAAAGGTGGATTGTCATTGTTATTAAGATGATACTTTTACTTAATCATTGAAATAAAACTTATGACTAAATATTACAAATATATTGTTACAAATACCATGGTCTTGAAAACTAAAGGTCTACATCAATTTTTTATAGTAATTTTATTGTGAAAGACCATTTTATAGTTTCAATAGATGGCATGACAAGGAAAAATTCAAGGCATTTTGATGATATGAGCACGGTTAAAAGTATTATAGCCTTGAAAGTTAATTATTCAAGCATCAAAGTATATGAAAGAGTTGTGTAAATTTGAATTGCCATAATCTTGAAGACTAATATTTAAAAAAATTGATGATGTGCTATTGAAGGCATGGACAAATCTCTATGAGAGATGATGATTATGAAACATGGCGTTATAAAAATTAACTAGCTGGCAATTTTTTGTCCAAGCTCCTAAAAAGATATTTTCTTGCCATAATTGTTGAAAAATAATGTTTTCATGGGCATTGAAATAAAATTATGAGGAGATGTTAGATAGAAGCCATGCAAACAAATATGCATGAGCAATTCATTAAAAATAAATATTCAAATTGATTGTGAAGTCAAAAGGGCAATGAGATAGTGATGAATGTAGAAAGTAATTATAAAATTATCAAAGCCAAATATTGTGATCTAAGAAATTGCATGGACAAGTTTCTGTTGGGAAAAGAAAAAATAATGACAAGCTTAGAATGTTATATGATGTTTAAATTTAACATGATATATGGTGTTCAAGCCTAGAAAACTATGCCAGAAAACTTATATGGTGTTCAATTGTTATTAATGTTTACATTTATTACTATTAATTTCTCAAGTAATTATTATAAATATTTGATATTGATTTAATCTTAATGTAATATTAAAGAAAATATCAAGAATCATTGCAATATGTGTAATCCTGTATTTATACTTCTAATTTACTACATTGAACATGGTATAACCTATAAATAATTTTTTGTTGAAATATGTCAGTTTTTGAATAAATTAGTTCTTGTAGAACTAAAATGTATGTCTCTCATTATGTGGTTGGAAATGAATAAGTGATGAGAGATATAGCCATAGATATCAAAGACTAATTTGTTAAGGACTTGAATATAATAGTTTAATCAAATTAACACCCATAGTTTTTTGTGAGTAGAGAAGCACTTGAGTTTTCTAATAAAAAGCAGGCTATTGGTCTGCTATTTACAAGTCATTATCTACAAAATGTAATAATAGAAAAATTATATTCATGTAACTCCTACTTCAAGGGGAGATTGTAGGGGCACAAGTGAGATAATACGTGACCGAGCACTACTCACATACCTAATCTTAAAGTTCATTGGGTCCTAAATGCATATTGATATTATAAATCAATTGCATGTTATGAAAAATGAAAAGTTTACATTGGATTTTTGTTATAGTAAACTAAAAGTTTATTTATCCATTATATATTGTTAGCATAACTTGTTTGATCATTTCAATACATATATAATACAAATGATTACAAAGGATGTGTATTGACGTTATTGAAGAACTAGAAGATTCTTCATAAATAGAAAATATATTATAAAATTTAATATTTTATATGTGCTACTTGTTCTCAAGAAAAATATGATGTGCTCACTTGTTATGATTGAGAATGGATCTATTCATTCCTAGAAATATAACAAATTCAACTATAAGGGCCTAATAGATAACATATGAATAGTGGTAACATTAAATAGATTTGATATATGCATTTATAAGATAATTTTGCAACCTGAAATTTGACAAGATTATATGCATAAATCATTATATAAAAGCATACAATTTTCAAACTGTGTGATATTAATAATTTTAATTGGGAATGCTAGTGAATTTATACTTCACACTTTGAAAAATCTTACTTAAAAGGTGATTGGCCAAAATCATTCATTAAAAGCTAGATCGATGCTTATGAGAACAAAATTTTCATTTGATTTTACAAACTACAGCATAATACACATTAAATCAATAAGGTATTGTAAATTTTCTTTTTTAAAATTGGCTTTTGGTCAGGAGCCAAGTATATACCATCTTAGAATTTTTGACTATGCAATACTTATTATCATTGTTTCACCACGTTGCACATAGATGGTTATATTGCATATAGCTCGTTATTCATGGAAAGTTAGGATAAATGTTGGATAAGAAACTCCTCCTTCTTGCTTGTCTCTAAATGAAACAAAGAAATGTTTCTAAAGGAAGCAGATGGTTTTAGGAAACTTATACTGCACAATTAGCTAGTGATTATCATTTGATAAAGTTTTCTCAATATGAGGGGGAGAAAATGAGTAGCTGAAAAAGAAAATATATGAAATATATATCACTCTATCTTATTTAGATCCTTACATATAAAAATATGAACCAGGAGTTCATCAAATGCTATATTTTTGAAATATCACAAAAGTATCTAACTGATTCAATCATTAACTCGTATGAGAATTATTAAATTTCTTGTTCCAGCTGAAAAAACTTCAATTAGAGTAAATAAAAATGAGATATGCCTGAAGCATGAGAAATTAACCAGTTCCTAATACAAAATCTTGTTAAAAGAGGAGCATTTAATTAAGATGATCATATTAAGGAGGCATACACTTTAGAAGAGGGTTAAGACATAACTGATTCTAAAAGCCCCAAAAGAGGTTCAGGTACCTAAAAGTAATAAAGAGATATCTCAATAAGTTATGTCACATTTAGAAAAATGGATCCAAAAAGATAAAATTGTCGACAATAATTTTGATGATCATCTCACGTGATTAAATGAAAATCTTGTATACAAATTTCTCATGAAAAGAAGACAAACAATGATTGGCTAAATAAAAAAGGGTAAAGGAAAAGACCCAATATGAGTAGAATTGTATTAATTTTCAATATGTGAAAATTATGGACATGCAGTCCAAATACTTGAAATGTAAATGTTATTACGGGAT